CCACGGAGGCGGTCCTTTAAACAAACTGATATTTAGTTCTGGAATGAAGATTTTAGGTGGCATTTTGCAATATTATGCAATGGGCTTTATATACATTGTACCCATGAGGGAATGGAACTGAGGTCGTCACGGGTCAACGCTGTAAACACTAGGCTGTCCCAACGCCCCCAAACCGTTTTGATAGGAATAAGTGAATTAATCATGTTTTGTCGCAGTCAGCAATATTTCAGATATGTCATATAGCTACCGCCGCCGTCATATACACAAAGAAAAAGGTAAAGCACATCCTAATATATTTCATTATTGTTTAGGGGGCACGGGTGGCCCAGTCGTCGAAGGCGCCGCGATTCGCTGTGCAGAGTTGCGTCCCTTGGGCACGCCAGAAACCTGTGATTGTGGGTTCGAATCCCGGTTCGCCCCGATTATGTTTCTAGGTTTGTCAGCACCATACCCGTGCTCATGGGTTTCACCGAAGTGGTAAACGTCTAAGACCTGCATCACTTCGGGCTTTCCTCCCACATTAAGCTGACACGCCGCGATACAACTGGAATACTGTTAAAAGCGGCGTTAAACCCAACTCACTCACTCACTCACTCACTCATTATTGTTTTGTCCCAATATTTGTTACAGTCGTGAAAGATATAATTACGGGAAGAATTATGTTTTCTCGAGATGATGTAATCAGTCATGCGTGACGAAAGCTCACGTGCCATGCATGGTATGCCCGTGCAGCATGCTACCCTCGAGTATCTCTAAAAGCAGTACATCCAAACGTTAAAATTGCTTTCTTCAGCTCGGTTTTAAACAGTTATTCCATGACATTGTGTGACCATGGCACGAAGGCGATTATCAAACGCCACAAGATGGCAAAACGCAGGAATGTCTTGTAATGCCATTAGTCAGAATTTGGGGTATCATCACACTGTCGTAAGCCGTTTCGTCGAGAAACATGCTCAGACCGGTGATGTAAAGGACCGTCCTAGATCCGGAAGACCTCCTGTGACGACACTTCAGGAAGACAGGGACCTTATCCGTCTCATACACCGAGAACCCTTTCTAACAAGTACTCGTCTGAAACAGCTGTGGTTGCCAAATCGTCGTTTCAGCACCAGAACCGTCAAGAGCCGGATGAAAGCAGCAGGACTGTGGGCTAGACGAGTCATAAAGCGTCCCTTGTTGAGAGATCACCACAAATCTGCTCGTTTTGCATGGTGTATTGCGCGACAGAACTGGAATCTGAGAACTTGGAGATGGATCCATTGGTCAGACGAAAGTCGCTTTCTGCTCCACGTTACTGATTGAAGAACGAGAGTTTGGAGGCACCGGAACACGGCCTACACCCCAGGAATATTAAACCGACTGTTGCTGGTTTGGGGGTGTATCTCTCATGATTGCAGGTTGGATTTGGTCACCACAAAGTGCAACTTAACAGGGGCTCAGTACATACGGGGCGTTTTGAGACCTGTCGTCGTTCCTCATTTTGACAACCACCCTCTTGATACTCGACCTCAGTACATGGATGACAACGCCAGGCCTCATCGTTCGCATGCAGTCGTGGATTACATGACGGCCAATGCAATAACGACTCTACCCTGGCCAGCAATGAGCCCAGATTTGAACCCCCTTGAACATGTTTGGGATATTCTGGGGCGGCGCATACAGGCACGAGATCCTCCTGTACAAGATTTACGCCAATTAGAAGCAGCATTGCATCAGGAGTGGTTGTTGTGACATGGGTGGACCCATCAACAGATCCAACGTCTGACTGGAGGCATGAGACGTAGGGTGGAATGCGTCATCCTGGCACGTGGCGATTATATCCGCTACTGATTTGTTTCATGTGTCATGTCAAGTAGAGACTTTAAGGAACATTTTCACATGAAACATCAAACGTAACTCGTTTATTTAATCCTGCAGCTCCATCTTTTTTTTAGGTATTGTCTAAGGTCAAAAACAGTACCTGTGTGACCATGATGTTTTTGTCAGTAAATGTCAATCACAACTCGCCAATATCTTCTTTATTTGTTGTCAAATGTTTGTTCTATCCGATGACATTGGTATCGCTCCTGTGGTCAGTTATCACATGCCATTGTTTTTGCCATTTGTCATGGTTCAGAAATAGGGGTGTGCTTAACTTTTTTCTTTGTGTATATATAGCTAGAATATTGCGGCTCATTCTGGGCTTGATGACATTCATCCTGGTTATAAATCTCATCATATGACCTATTCTAATGCGGGTAGAGGGGTGGATTGGGCTGGTGTGGTGGGGGTGTATGACGCTTAGTTATGACAAAAATACTAATTATTCAATCTTTACTCATCAAGACTTTGCAAGTGCGTAAGTTAAAGGCTCTTATCGAGTGATGCAGATGCTGACTGGAGGCATGATTTAAGAAATGCAATTTGTAATTTGATAAGACATTTACATTTTCACCGGTTTGGCCCAAATGTTTTACGTGGATTATTTCCAAGGCCAGTCTAGACTACAGGCAAATATCATTATGTTTACTTGTACTTGAGATCCTTTTAACATTTTCATTGATTCTAAAACTTCTTCACTTTTCATCTCCTTTTTATTGAAGTAACATCATTTCCAATAATATATTTCCATAATGCTGACGATATTAAACATACCGTTCACGATTCTCTGTCGTATTAAATATTAAAGACTAGAAATGGAGCTTTTAGTGGTCCATACACGTGCTAAATTCATTAACTACTACTACTACTACTTTCACAACTACCACTACTATCACAAACACCACTACTACAAAATGCTGCTACCACTATGGTCATTGGACGAAAAGACGTTTATGGGATGCTTTCTAACCATCGGTTTTCCGTCCAAATAACGTGGTAAGCTGAACGCATAGCTTCCCTTTTAAGGTAACGGTACAGATTGTGATATTTTAAAATTTCATCTGATTATTTTTGTTCACAGCTACAATTTGGAGTTATGCCACTGTCCTTTGTTGAGAGTTTTGTTATTAAACTATCCATTGTCCTCGTCTATCTGGAATATTGCCGATGTCTTATTATATATTAACTCAATAACACACTCACTATGAAATATAATATCAAGATAAGAAAGACTTACTTGTAACAGGTGACTTGTCCTGAGGTTTGATAGAGATTGACACCACCCTGTCCTTGCCCCGTTGTCTCCGAACCCAGTCTCGAAACTCCGTCCACTTTTCGACAAGGGTCAGCTCCCTGTGTCCCCGCCCTCCCCATCCCCACCTGGGGGTCTGCGTTAGGTGGGACTGGTCACAGCCCATTAAATAATCTTAAAACGTTATCCATAAGGTAAAAGAATCTATCGATGAAAAACACGTCTTGCGCTTTCCATTACCCGGTGATTATGACGTCACGCCATTGATGACGTCATAGTATTGTTACGTGTGCTGACACCCGACTCCAATTTAAGCCACGCCCACCGGGCATCTTCAAACACACTCCGGCGCAGTGGTGACTTAGCATGGAACTCTGGGTGGAAGATTAAAAAAATAAAGTGACCTGAGCTTTCACTTGTCATCCTTTGTCAACAAATACAAAACGGCGTGTATGATCATGATGACAATATTGTACCTAATATGGTTGAGCATCATACAGTTAGAATGTGCATGTAAAAATAACATCGCAGAGCGAAGCTGCTTATGTGCGTATAATACGCACAATAAAGCATCATAACCGAAGGATTTTGTGTTTGGTTGTTTGGAATACGCATGGAAAAAATAAAACAAACAATAACATGATGACACCGGGAGTAAATATTAATTTACTAAATGTAGACCGCCTCCGTGGTCTAGTGGTAGAGCGTCCGCCCGGAGAGCGGAAGGTCCGGGGTTCGATCCCCGACCGCGTCATACCAAAAGACGTTAAAAGATGGTACTTGTTGTTACCCTGCCTGGCGCTCGGCATTAAGGGGCTAAAACAAGGACTGGTCGGCTCGGCGTCAGTATACTGTGTCTGAGTGGGGTATTCATGCTAAACTGTGGCATGGTATGTCAGTGAGCTAGCACTATAAATCGGCATCAGTCCGGACTAGTACAAGCAGCCACACAAACAAACACACGTACATGCACGTCTCTATATAAGTACAATAATCTTGGACGCGACGTTAAACCCAATTTCACCTCACCTCACTAAATGTAGCCTTTTCAACTTGTGTACCTGTTTGTCTGTCCAGATATTTATTTACTGATCGTACGCAGGCATCGAGAATATATGAACTCTACTGCAGTGAATAATGAAAAAATGCTACGTCATGCTTGTTGTAACTTAGATAGGTATCGTTGTTATGAGCTATGCGGCATGTGACACACCTAGGGCATCACATTGACAGATGCAAATTAGAAGTCACCTGAAACAGTGTTTGAAAAAAAGTGAACTCATCGGTTTAAAAATACGCAATAGAATGGCCCCAACGAAGTAAATAATTATTAAATACCCAAAGAAAACTGCAATTCCCAGTGTGAGTAATAACGTGAGTAAATAATCAATAGTTATTGTTTTTAGTCTGGGGGCTTGGTGACAGGGTAACAGATCTAAAGAACCTCAACAGTGACGTAGAAATATATAACGTTAACTGTATGTACAAAATGTTAAATGTTAACTGTATGAAAGGAACTAATTGTTAAGGACCAGGGACGGAATAACTCGCCAGCATCTCATAATTTTCGTTAGAGCTGACTAACATGGGATGTTCATGCCATCAGCCACTATTCGAATATCTCTTGAAAGGCCTTCATTTATTATTCACTCACTCACTCTTTCACTGACGCGCCGTAATAGCTATATTTTATTTTCGGGTACCGCTGTTTTAAAATCTGAAATTTAATTCATATATGAGTACCAACTTCAAACTGTAATATGGCGATTCAGAATGGCAACTTTCGCCCGTGCGTCCAGATAGATTTACTGTAAGGCGGTACACGGCTCTCTCTCTCTGCGCATATTTCAGATGTATGGCGAGACGGAGTCCAGTTTGGAGTTATCGTTCCTAGGTGACGACACTTCCTGTTGTCATTCGGCACGTGTTGTGTGTTGATCATACATTCGAAGGGAAGATTTGATAAAGTCTTGTCTTTACGTAATATCCTACGGCAATGGGATTGTTTTCTATAAAAAGCAAGAAGCAATACGTCAAAAAAGGGGTAAGTTCGCAATGTTACCATCTTGAATATGTAGTTTTTGTTATCAGTTTATCAACAATCATATATTGATGAATTATTTTTATCATTAGACATGTCGGGGTAACACTTCCGACTGACAAGACGGTATTCTCCCTAAACATCATAATGTATTCAAACACGGCTATGACAGGCCTCAAAGTTGCGACTAAAACGGTCGCCAATGCGACCTAAATTTCAATTTGACTACTATCTAACATTCAGTGGTAGCCAAATGACTACCTTTAAAAATATCTTGTGCCACAAGTTGTGGCGACTAAATTCTATTGCTACACATATGTAGACACAAAAATAATCATGTCTGCTACTTATTCTACTTACAAATAATACCTCCTAAAGTCAACAATGAACCGAAATACATAAATATTAATGTAATTAGTATTGTATTTTAGTTGATAATTTTTGGATAAGCAAAATAACAAAACTCAAGTTCAGTTTCCACTAATATACAATTCCAAGACAAGTGTTATGACTTGTACATATACTTATTTGATAAAAGATAATTTCAAATGCTTTTGGATACCAACACTTTTGGCTTGACTTCTTTATTTTACCACTGGCTACCTGGATAAATATATTTGTAGCCATATGGCTACTTGATAAAAAATTAAACTTTGAGGCCTGCTATAAACTTATTCCATGGATTTGTCTAGGACTGCACACTATAATCTTTGTGCCCTTTGACAGACATTTTGGAAAAAAAATGATTTTACATATATAATAATATGATTTTGTTCCAAATTTAAAAGTTATTCTAACATTGAATGTTGGCAGTGTTCGAAATAGCTGCCCTCCTAGCCAAATACCATGAACATCGACTTTTAAATTTGGCTAGTAACATTTCAAGTTGGCTTGACTGTCAAGTTGAAACTTCAAGTCAATACAAATTTATTTCTACAAATCATCAAGTCAGTTAACATGGTTAAGGTGTCATTTAATGTCAAAGTTTGTTATCACTTTGTTTTCATTTCATATAGTTTAACGCAAACGCGAAGTAGTAAAGTGGGTTTTTACTGTACGCTGATTATGACTGATTTACATGGAGCCATACGTACATTATCAGTGATGCATGTGAAAGTCCGGGAACCCCCACAAACACCTGAAGTACATTTAGGATAATGCAATGTATGGAGGCTGTCATAAATGTAGGCTAGTAAAATATGATGAAGGCTTTTTTTGTTAACAAGTCCTCCTGGCCTGTGAACTTTGGAAACTAATTCATAAGCTGATGTTGGTATATGCTGCATGGGGACTGTCCTTTATTATTGGGAGAGGGGTGCGATTAAGGGAAGGGGGGATGTCATGAAAAATGAAAGATCGAAAGGGGGGACATCGCCAAAAGGTATTATAACTGTATTGGGCCGTTCATCTGTAATATTTTTTTTCGTAAATGTGAACAATTTATTCAAACTACCTATTTCCCTGTCAACATTACGGATGGCACATTGGCACATAAATCATGTGGCAATATATCACAATATGGAGAGCTGTTTTGTCAGTTTTGTGATACATATTGCAATATGTATTGGGGACCAAATTATGTATATTGGTACTGTTCAAATGGAACTTCTTCATTCAATAATCCAGACACCAGGTTGCAAGAAGGGTAGTATGGATAAACAAGACTGCCTATAACGTCATTAATATGGAATGTTAATGAAAACAGCGTGAAGCGTAAGCTGTTTACATGGTTTTAATAGGAACCCAGTCCATCCCAATGCCTCAAGATAGATATTATTTATTTAATTCTTTATTAGTTTTTCAGCAAGCCATGCTTGTTGTAAGAGGCGATTATGCTGGTCGTAAGAGGCGACTAACAGGACATTGTCACAAGGTTCTACAGCTTCTTGTCAAATAACCCTGTGGGGTTTGTTGGGCTGAAATGGTTGCGTGCTCCATTGGCCTGTCCTATGTTTTCAGCTTGTAAGTAATGTGGTCCGATTCATGTCATCACACCAGAGACCCGTGAAGATTCCGGGGTAGAATAGGTCTTCAGCAACCCATGCTTGCCGTAAAGGGTGACTATGCTTGTCGTAAAAGGCGACTAATGGGATCGGGTGGTCAGGCTCGCTGACTTGGTTGATGCATGTCATCGATCCCAATTGCGTGGATCGATGCTCATGATATTAATCACTGGATTGTCTGGTCCAGACTCGATTATTTACAAACCGCCGTCATATAGCTGGAATATTGCTGAGTGTGGCGTTAAACAACCAACCAACCAACCAACATCACACCAGAAGGTGTGGGGTGTTGCTTTTGATGATGATAAAATCGAACTCTGGTTTGTCTGGCCCAGAGTTGATTAGGCCAATATTTGGGCCACTGTGATATATTTGGAATATTGCTGAGTGCAGCATAAAATAACCCAAATTCATGTTCATCTATTAGCATGATTAGTGGTGCAATGATATGACGATACAGTATCTTATCCCGATATAAGGCCTGCGATACAATGCATCGATTTACTTCCCCTGTATCGCGATACAAAGATTTGTACATTACATTACAAGTTATGATAACAGATTTAAGATGCTAAACTGTTCAACAACCAGCTTTCACAGATTCTCTGGTATTTCCCAGTTGGTTACAAATAACCCATCTCTGAAATTTATAAAGAAATGACTTCTTTGAAAAATGGAAATTTTAAGGAGTTTGGAACTATTTGTTATGATTCAGGATTGTGATTCACTTGCAAAAAGAAAGAATATCAACTTAAGCAATACTGAACTTGGATATGAATCGTATCGCCCCAATGATATTGGGATATGTATCCTATCGTGACATCATCAATAATAGGGGTGGTCGGGTAGCCTAGTGGTTAAAGCGTTCGCTCGTCATGCCGAAGACCCGGGTTCGATTCCCGACATGGGTACAATGTGTGAAGCCCATTTCTGGTGTCCCCCGCGGTGATGTTGCTGGAATATTGCTAAAAGCGGGGTAAAACCATACTCACTCACTCACTCACTCATCAATAATATCATCTATTATATAAAATTAATCACTTGTTTCACATGCCCAGTTGCTCATTAAATGCCCCAGCCCGAATATTTGAGATATGTTTAAGCAAATGACCTTTTCTACACAAATTTTGTTTCTGTAACCATGGTAACTGATTCCAACTTTTTGCTCTTTGTGCTGGGGGGGGGAGGGGGGGGCATGCTCAGCATAGGTCACGTGGTATGTTAGAATCTAAATTATCTTTTATAGATTTGTAATCTGCGGAAGTATCAAAATAAAGTTCTCCCTCCCTACCATGTCTGTTTTGCTGAAAGTCATGAGAAACAAGTCAGGTTTAGCTGGTCTTGTCTGAGTTATCATCATGGTAATTGTATGTTAAACAGGGTCGGAGGAAAAAGGGTTATGTTCCTCGTAACCGAACAGAGAAGAAAAAGCAGAAGAGGAACACAAGTAACAAGGTTCTTGTGGAGGATGAGGAGCTGATGAGCAGGGAACAGCTGCAGAAGAAGCTGTGAGTGGGACTCCATGGCATTTTTTTTAATATCTGCGAGTACCGACACATGTCTTGCAGTCCGACTTCGCAGTGTTTTTTGCCTTTTACTTCCTAGTTCGGCTTATCTGCGGGTCATATTATTTTCTTTCGTATTTCAATGGTCAAGTTATCTACGGGGTCGGCTTATCCACGGTCATATACGGTATATCGGGGAACAGCTGCAGGAGAAGCTGTAAGTGAGACTCCCTGGCACTCAGGGCTGGTAGAGTAGTCTAGTGGTTAAAGCAGGGAACAGCTGCAGAAGAAGCTGTGAGTGAGACTTCATGGCACTCAGGGCTGGTAGGGTAGTCTAGTGGTTAAAGCAGGGAACAGCTGCAGAAGAAGCTGTGAGTGAGTCTCCATGGCACTCAGGGCTGGTAGAGTAGTCTAGTGGTTAAAGCAGGGAACAGCTGCAGAAGAAGCTGTGAGTGAGACTCCATGGCATTCAGGGGTGGTAAGGTAGCCGAGTGGTAAAAGCAGGGAACAGCTGCAGAAGAAGCTGTGAGTGAGACTCCATGGCATTCAGGGGTTGTAAGGTAGTCTAGTGGTTAAAGCAGGGAACAGCTGCAGAAGAAGCTGTGAGTGAGACTCCATGGCATTCAGGGGTGGTAAGGTAGTCTAGTGGTTAAAGCAGGGAACAGCTGCAGAAGAAGCTGTGAGTGAGACTCCATGGCATTCAGGGGTGGTAAGGTAGTCTAGTGGTTAAAGCAGGGAACAGCTGCAGAAGAAGCTGTGAGTGAGACTCCATGGCACTCAGGGCTGGTAGAGTAGTCTAGCGGTTAAAGCAGGGAACAGCTGCAGAAGAAGCTGTAAATGAGACTCTATTGCACTTAGGGCTGGTAGAGTAGCCTAGTGGTTATATCGGGGAACAGCTGCAGAAGAAGCTGTGAGTGAGACTCCATGGCACTCAGGGCTGGTAGAGTAGTCTAGTGGTCAAAGCAGGGAACAGCTGCAGAAGAAGCTGTGAGTGAGACTCCATGGCACTCAGGGCTGGTAGAGTAGTCTAGCGGTTAAAGCAGGGAACAGCTGCAGAAGAAGCTGTAAATGAGACTCTATTGCACTTAGGGCTGGTAGAGTAGCCTAGTGGTTATATCGGGGAACAGCTGCAGAAGAAGCTGTGAGTGAGACTCCATGGCACTCAGGGCTGGTAGAGTAGTCTAGCGGTTAAAGCAGGGAACAGCTGCAGAAGAAGCTGTAAATGAGACTCTATTGCACTTAGGGCTGGTAGAGTAGCCTAGTGGTTATATCGGGGAACAGCTGCAGAAGAAGCTGTGAGTGAGACTCCATGGCACTCAGGGCTGGTAGAGTAGTCTAGTGGTCAAAGCAGGGAACAGCTGCAGAAGAAGCTGTGAGTGAGACTCCATGATTCAGGGCTGGTAAGGTAGCCGAGTGGTAAAAGCATTGGCTGTCATCCTGGTTTCCCCTGCTTGAAATTTCCTAAAGGCGGCACACATGCTTTCTCACCCACTCCCTAAAACAATGTAAGTGCCACGAGGGTATGTTAAAGTATTGGAGATAGCGTGCTAAGCACTGCGATCGCTTTGTGGAACGAGGCCCTCGTCCCTTAGGCTTGTTATGCTACCTGTACAATAACTAGGGCAACATTGGAGTGGTGATATTACATTCATTCACTGGAATCTGTGTAATGCAAGATTCAGCCACATCAAGTTTGCATAACACAGAAGCCAGTATTTGACTGTTTGTGTTTACCAGAAATAAAGCATAGTCTTTGATTTGAAGACAAAAACTAATGAAGATAATAATAACAGTCATGTTAGGTTCGTGTCTGCTGCCACGGTGTTTGTGTTGGGTCGTGTCAAGTGATATTTGTGTCAGTGCAACTTCTAGCTCGAACTGACCCTTGAAGCCTATCAGGAACTGACTTTAATTAATTTATTTCAACTGTGCCATTGTCACTTTGATACAAGAAATTTTGAAACCTGAAAAATTACTTGAGTATGTTGCCATGTTCGTTTGTCTTACAGATTGTATTGCATACACTTTGTTTTTATCCCAGAGCTCCAGATAAGCTGCGTATCTGCGTGAAATACGCATCAGAAATGCAGAAATACACAGTTAAATATAATCCAAGCGTATCAAATACGCAACGAACATAACAGATACACTACAAAAATAAAACGTGTGCGCATCATCAAAATATTGTGAAGTAACCCTGCATATTCGATTAGCAAATCAGCAACTTATTTTTAAATTATAAACGGGCATTCCGTCAACCTTGCCAAACTCCACGATGACAGTTACATCATGATCATTTGCCATCACACTTTCTTGTGGAAGTATCGTGGTATTTTTGTGTCCTATAAAGCTCTCGAACCCACACAACACCAGTTTGCAGGGACTAGATGATTAGTGTTTTTAAATATTTAACTTAAATACCCACATGTGTAAAAACTAGTGGGTAACAGAAATTTGAATACGTAGGTAGAATTACTGATACCCAATGATTTTAAAATGCATGGGTAAAATACCCACAACACCAAAAGCTTATCTGGACCTCTGTATCCACATGTGAGTACTGCATAAAGCAAAAAAACCATAGCTTTTCGAACCCTAGTTGTTGCCGTTTTCATTTCCATTAGGGCAGCAAGATCTGACAGGCAAAAACAAATAAAGGTATTGCACAATCACTGTTAAATATTTCCCCATTTGAATCTGAATGTTTAATTTTCAGGAAGAACAGGAACTGCAGTATAACAGTATCTGGGAAGCGAAGATCAAAGATGTTGAAACGTCTCCGTCACACAGTAAAAAATGACAGCAAGTTCGTACAAGACGAAGGTAAGTGGGGTCTACGTGGTGTTGATGTCTGACGGTCATCAAATTCACAGGTCACTTCTGGCAGGAGTGAAGTAGAATTTTTAAAATTGATGAGTATGTGACATAAAGGGGCAGTTTGATTTTGAGATATAAAAATAGGGTTTACGGGTTATTTCACCATGCCAGGGACCAACACGAACATGAAAGGGTTACCGGTAACTATAGTCTGGAAGGTAATTTAAGGTACCGACGTTTACTACAATATCTGAAATACTATTGGACCTACTTCAGTCAAAGTTGGTAGGAGATTATTAAACAGTCATACATAACTGGATATTACATTTAAAGAAAATCGGTGCAGCATTGGGCATCTCAACGTGCGTGATTCCCGTGCACCCTTTCGAGTTGAGTTGATTGGTTCAACTGTGTCATATGGCCCTGTGACGCAGGGGTAGCATTATGCAGATGGCTGTTACAATGAATGCTCGTTCCACCCGTGACGAACAGGTCTGGTTATTGATGAAATATAGTGATAGCTAAATAGACAGATTTTTTATTCATGCACCGATTGTCTTTAAATGTAATATCCAGTTATGTATGAGTGTTTAATAATCTCATCACAACTTTGACTGGAGTAGGTCCGATAGTTTTTCAGATATTGTAGTAAACGTCGGTGCCTTAAATTACCTTCTAGACTATATGTCACGCCAGGAAACAGACACCAGAAAACAGATAGGGTATACGAGGTATTACACCACACCACACCAGACACCATGCCACATATCTGACTAGTGTCAGTGTGCTAGTCTGTTCAAACCAGTGGGTTCTGGTTACAACCATGCTAACTGGATTTGGGAACAAAACAACTAGTCCTCCACATTTCAGTCCTGGACTTGTCACCATCTCTATCCCTGTTTATGGGATATTATAACCACACCTGGGACCACACAATACAAAATAAATAGTGTTTTTGGGCTATACCAGTTAAACACCAGGACATTGACACTTCACATCCTGCACTTATTTCCTGTACATACACAGTATGGGAATATTGCCTTGTGATGCCATCTGTGAAAAGGGGGACAAATGCTAGCCACAAGTCAGTCAAACAGGTGCATAACTACGAAAATTACAAAAATTGACCTCGGATTTTTGGGCTCCGTAATACAGCTGGAACTGTTGATATACATGATCTCCAGGATGGTGTATTTATCTTCTCCTTTTAGATCTTAACATTGATAAAGTTTCAGTCTGGTCCATAAAATAATCATCTTCTTAAGTTAAAGTAGTGTTTAGAATATATGGGGTTAACCCTGCGTCATGGTGTCTCAGTGGGCTGACCTTGTGAAGGCAGCGTTAGTCTGGACTGGTAGAGCAGACACACAGACACGCACAGACACAAACACAGACATACACGCACATAGAGGCTGGGGTTAACCCTGCATCATGGTGTCTCAGTGGGCTGACATTGTGAAGGCAGCGTTAGTCTGGACTGGTAGAGCAGACACGCACAGACACAAACACAGACAGACACGCACAGACATACACGCACATAGAGGCTGATATAAACGTTCAATAATAATGAATGCCACAGTAAACCACATTCCACTTCAATTCCATTTGCAGTGAGTCTATGGTGTTCAAGTTCTCAGGATCCACTGTTAATGCAAATATATAGAGAATCTCACCCAAGTGTCTTTTGATATCAAATATATCAACACAAGTTGATAAAAGAGGAAAAACTCCAAGGCTGAGATTTTTGTATCAACCAACATCATTCTTCCAACTTATTCAGTTTTTTAGACAGTAATAAGCAGTGTCTTAAAGGGGAAGTGTACACGCCAAAATCACTTTCTTTCTTTTTCTAAACAAAACGCAATTTTAGAATTAATTAGTATCTGTGTTTGAAAATATACACTCATTTTTTTCACAGTGAATGTAGGAAGCTCACAATAGTGTGAAAATGATATGCCGTTATGAGGCCTTTGTTTTTCGAGCTAAACAGGCCTGAGTTATCCCCCTTAGATTATGACGTAATTGGTGCCAATTCAGCTGGGTCCCTGTCTATTCTCAACGCAAAAGATATCAAGTACCAGTTTGCGGTAAAACAACATGGCCTACGACACACTCCGGCGCAGTGGTGACTCAGCATAACACTATGCTGGCTGGCATCTGAGACGCTAGAATCACACACCTGGACCTACACCACGTGAAGCGGCTCTAACAAAGCATGATGACATCATAACGTTTATCAATTGGCACCAATGACGTCATATTGCAAGAGGCATAAGCCATGGTGTTTTTGTTGTGGAAATAGAACACTTGGTAAATGTGAAAAATATAAATCGTTTTAATGCGAAAAATATGTTAATTAATTGTGATATTTTTATATTTTTGTCTATGACACTTCTATGTTAACACTTTTAATGTGGAAAAAGTACAAGTAAAATAGGTTCATTTCCGTGTGAACTTGCCCTTTAAGCGTAAAAAGTACTGCTAACTCCGAGGCTGAGATTTTTTTATCATCCAACTTTTTCATTTTTTTTACAGTACTAAGCAGTGTCTTAAGCATTGTTAAGCGTATAAGGTACTGCTAACAGCTTCAGTAGCAGAGCCATTAGTGATGTCAATTGATTGTGACGTCATGGTAACCAGTGATGTCACAATGGTGTGCAAAGTATTGTGATGCAATTACATTGCAGCAATGTAGATATCCCTTGATCTCACCCAAGGATATCTCCTGTGGGAGTCAGTTTTGGATGATAAATGGAAGTATCCACCCTATTAACAATTGTCTGTATTTTACAGTTGAAATGGAGGAAGAACCCCAACAGAAGAAGAAGACAAAGAAGAGCAAGAAGTCGAAGGAAGTTGATATGGAGGAAGACTTGTAGTCTTGGGGAAGAGGAAGATACTGCTGGATTTAAGCCCATCTGATTCACTATCATAATTGCAAATTAGATAATGTTTGTTTTTGAAATGTAATTCAGTTCATGGAAAATACCTTTATATCTGGCAGAGTAAGGACACACAAATGCTGCTTCTCCTTGAGGAAACGAGTGGTTTTAACTCTCGGTGTGGCATTCATCATAGCACCAGTATTCATCCACTAGCACTCCACTCCAGTGGGATGGATCTGGGGTAGAATTGGTCTTCAGCAACCCATGCTTGCCGTAAAAGGCAACTATGCTTGTCGTAAGAGGCGACTAACTGATCAGGTGGTCAGGCTTGCTGACTTGGTTGATGCATGTCATCGTATCCCAATTGTGTAGATCGATGCTCATGGTGTCAATAACTGGATTGTCTGGTCCAACTTAATTATTTACAGAATGCCGTCATATGCATGATATACCGGTAGCTGTAATATAGCTGAGTGTGGCGTTAAACAACAATCAACATCAACATCCAGTGTGATGGCTGCTGTGACAAGACAGTATGTGTGATGATTGACACTGTAATCAGAGTTGTGTCCCATGATGCCTGTGCTTGGGATTCCTAAAGTATGTTGTGAGTCCAGGAGTCCATTGAAGCTGTAAATACCTGTAAATATGCTAGGTCTGTAGACCATCAGCTGTGTCACTCTTTCAATCTGATTCAGACAGATGTTTTACTCTGATATGATACCTCTCTGTGTGGAGATCAGAGGATGCCTCCATAGGTCGCGTCATGGGATCTTACTCATCAGCATTGAGACTTCAAAGTTCTCAGGGGGCACGGGGGCTCAGCCGTCCAAGGCGCCGCAATTTGCTGTGCAGAGTTGCGTCCCTTTGGCACACCAGAAACCTGTGATTGTGGGTTCCAATCTCGGTTCGCCCCAATTATGTTTCTAGGTTTGTCAGCACCATACCCCTGCTCGTGGGTTTCACCGAAGTGGTAAACATCTAAGACCTGCATCACTTCGGGCTTTCCTCCCACATTAAGCTGACACGCCGTGATATATCTGGAAAACTGTTAAAAGCGGCGATAAACAACTCACTCACTCATAGTTCTCAGTGTGAGTGAAAGAAGCATTCAGAAAATTATATCTGATTTCTGTATCTCAAAACATTATCTGGATTATTGAATGAAGAAACATATAGCCTTGATATTTTATAATGGATATTTTCTCTATCCTTTCGTTCCTGTTGCTACCCTGCCTGCTGCTCGATCTTAAGGGGCTAAAACAAGGACTTGTCGGCTCGTTGTCAGTATACTGTGTCTGAATGGGTATTAATGTTAAACTGTGGCATGGTATCTCAGTGGGCTAGCACAATTACACAGTCAAACAGTCATGTGCATGCACATCGTATGAGTGAAATAATCTCCAACACGCCAATATTCACGGTTGAACGTCACCTCACATGTGAGCACCATGGCATCTCCACCCAAAAGTGTGTACTGTAGAGGGTTTTGTGTTCGTTTTTTTTTTTTTCTTTAACTGTTATCTAAAGGTCTGAATAAAGGTGGTAAAGAAATTAAACTGAATCTGTTTAGAATGTTGACATCTGATTGGTTAAAAACCCAATTTGTCCCATGCATCTTTCATAAAGATTGGGCCCCCTGAAGATTCCGGGGTAGAATAGGTCTTCAGCAACCCATGCTTGCCGTAAAAGGTGACTCTGCTTGTCGTAAAAGGCAACTAACAGGATCGGGTGGTCAGGCTCACTGACTTGGTTGATGCATGTCATCGATCCCAATTGCGTGGATCGATGCTCATGATGTCAATCACTGGATTGTCTGGTCCAGACTCGATTATTTACAGACCACCGTCATATAGCTGGAATATTGCTGAGTGCGGCGTTAAACAACAAAGCAAATCAGAAAGATTGGGCAGTTTGGTCAGGGTCATCTAACATGTACTGTGGAGGTGTTAGATTTTCACGCAGAGGTAATCTATCAGAGTAAAAGAGCTGATTTAAATTCAGATGTAAAAGTCTTGCATTAAAGTATTTACATGCATTCAGTTTTCTGTTAATTGTTCTGACTTGTGTTTCAGCATGAACAGTATAGCCTGAAGGACAATTCAGTTGTTGTCAGTCAACATTTCTTGTCAGTCAAGTGTTGTCCACTTGTTTCAAACTTTGCATTAGTGACGTCCAGGGCCCCTTTCCTCAAAGCGATCTTAGCAATACGACTACCGTAAGTTCATGTAAAAGGGAGTTACGATTCTCTTAGCGCTAAGATCGCTTTGTGGAACGAGGCCCAGGTTCTTAGTTGCTCCTGAATGGGGCACTGTAGTTAGTTCGTCATTGTTTGTTTGTTAAATGCCTTAGTCAGCAATGTTCCTGCTATATCATGGCAGCCTGTAAATGTTCAAGCCTGGACCAGACAAACCAATGATTTATTATGTTAGGCATGTCCTGGCAATCACCGAAGTCCCTTAGGCTGACCACAGATCTATTTGGCACCTTTTATAAAGAACATTGGTTGGGGACCTCTTCAAGTCCAGAATCCCTGCAGGTTCCTTATGAAGATGCTCTATCTCATCTAGACTTGGACAGTCACCACAGCTGCATGTCAGGATCTGCAGAATCTGGGCTTGAGAACAAATCCACCCTGATCAAAACACCCAGTGGGCAGTCCGGGTTACAAGTGAGCCCCAGAAACATGCTGGTCGTTAGAGGTCAGCAAATAATTGGTGTTCAGGCTCAGTGACTTGGTGGGGCGGTCGGGCAGCCTGGTGGTTAAAGTGTTCGCTCGTCACACCGAAGACCCGGGTTTGATTCCCGACATGGGTAAAATGTGTGAAGCCCATTTCTGGTGTCCCCCGCAGTGATATTGCTGGAATATTGCTAAAAGCCGCGTAAAACCATACTCACTCACTCAGTGACTTGGTTGAATACGGGTCATCAATCACTGGATTGTTAGGTCAGAACACAATTATTTATTGGCTGCCGTCATATAGCTGGAATATTGCTGAGACATTATGGTTCCTCGTTTGTCAGTCCCATAGCAGTGCTTGTGGGTAACCTCTTCACATAAGTTCAAGTGACCTTATGGCATAGTGCCTTGTCCATGGTCAATCTGTCCCTGTTGAAATTAATTTTTGACATAAGGACTTTTGAAGCTGAAATTGAGCACAATTTATCCCGCTTTGGGTCTTTTAAGATTCCTCTTGGAGTTCTGATCAGTGTTTTACCATTGCAAATGTGGCAGCCATCTTGAAATGACCTGAGGGTCGATTAGTTGCCTTCATGCCTCATCATCTTGAACAATGATGTGGCATGAAATAATATGAGTGAAACATATATGTATAGACAAATTATATGAAATGAAGAAGGGTGCATTTTGTAATTATTGTTGCATTTCTGGGCATCTGAAATGGACATATTATAGACTTACAAGGGCTGTATTTGATATATTTGTTACAGGGTCTGTATGACAGACTATTCCGGGCACCACAGTTCACTGTACAGAGTTGCGTCCCTTGGGTGCGCTAGAAACTATGATTGTGGGTTCGAATTCGATTTGCCCTGTTTTTGTTTCTGGGTTTGTCACCACCATACCCGTACTCTGTGTGTCGATCCCTGAAGATCTGGGCTAAAATAGGTCTTCAGCAACCCATGCTTGCCCTAAAAGGCGACTCTGGTTGTTGTAAGAGGGGACTAACGGATCGGCTGGTCAGGATCGCTGACTTGGTTGATGCATGTCAACGTTTCCCAATTGCCTGGATCGATGCTCATGATGTCAAACACTGGATTGTCCGGTCCAGATTATTTACAGACTGCTGTCATATAGCTGGAATATTGCTGAGTGTGGCGTTAAACAACAAACAAACAAAACTTGGTGTGTGTCACCAAAGTGGTAAATGTCTGAAACCTGCATCACTCTGGGCTTGTCTCCCACATCAGCTGACAATCTGTGATATAACTGGAATACTTTTAAAAGTGGGGGTTAAACCCAACTCACTCACTACTAGTGTACGTTCAACATTCACAATAACGTTTTGTAGTATAGATTGAAGGTTTTATTTTTTGTACAATGCTGAATATGTAACAATTCTGTTTCTGGGTAATGAATTTCCATGATGCTGTTGAAGAATTAATACTCATTAATATTCATTAATACTCACGTGTTGTTCATGGAACAGATGGAAAACAACAGTCAATATGCAGATTGCAACAACGTATATAAAACAACATGTATATACATCATCAAATATCTCATTTGAAATTAAGTAACACATGGGAATGCATCATTAAAATAGTATAAATATTAATAGATATATTTGTATATATATGATACAATAAACATACATGTATAGCAAAGAACTGTTTTTTAAAAACAGGAACATATTTTCTCTACACATATCAAGCCAACAGATTGATTAATGAAAGTCCCCTTTTCAGTTTACACATGTGTGACTTATTACACCAAGTGGTGTGTGTTGGGGTTGAGACATTAGCATCCCCAGTCAGTCATGAAGACAGGATTCTAGGTTAGTATAGACCTCTACACGCCTGATGGGAGTCTCTGTGACTTGATTGATTGCGTGGTATGGATCGTTGCTCACAATGTAAATCACTGGATTGTCTGATTCGGACTATTTTTTACAGGCCGTCATACAGCTGGACTATTGCTCTGTGCAACATTAGACAGCAATGTGACCTGGCGGAGTGTGTGTTGTACCCGACACTGTAGATCATTGCACAATCAATCACTGGATTGCCTGGTCCAGATTTGATTATTTACAGATCACGATCATATAGGTGGAATATTGCTGGGTGTGACATAAACAGCAAACCAACATAGAAACAACATACCCACAAACCGAATAATGTGAAAACATCAGTATAAGATTTAGTGTGATGGTCATGACAGAACCCTAATTAGCATTTATTGCGTCTTCAATCCCTTAGGGGGCAGTAGGGTAGCCTTGTTAAAGCTTTCGCTCATCATGCCAAAGATCCAGGTTCAATTCCCAACATGGGTACAATGTGTGAAGCCTATTTCTGGTGCCCACTGCCATGATATTGGACTAATGCTAAAAGGGGCGTAAACGCATACTCACTCACTCAGCCCCTTGTTATTGATTGAATAAGTTGATATGCCAAACATCAACATTTGTTCACACACACACACACACACCAACAGGCAGCGAGCAACAATTGCGATGTTAAACCCCATTTCACTTCACCTTGCCATTGATGGAATAATTTGATATGTCAAGCATCATCATTTTCTTTCAAACAACTACATGTACAGACTGCAACCCCTCCCCCTCCCCAATCAGACCTTCATTCAAACTTGATAGTGTCAACCATCAACAAAATTTAACAGAGGAACTTTGTGTATGAACAACCTGTGAAGTATGGGTCCTCACAGAATCTTATATTTGTCATAATCCCCTGTTTAAGATGAAAAGTTGATGTATTTTGGTGCTGACTATCATATATACAGTAGTATCATTTAATTATGTATAATTCTTTTCGCTCATGAAACCTTTTTTGTCATGTCAACACTGCTGGTCTTTCAGTCAGTTGATGGTGTAGTGTAATAATGTATGGGGATTTTATTATTGGGTACAGTATTGAATGTATGTTCCCTTGAGGGATATCACATATTGTAGGTACACAGTGCATGTACCATATTCGACATAATAAGCGTCCCGTTCTAATAAGCGCCCAGGGCCTTATTTACTAATATATTGGCCAGTGAACAATCCCACTTAGCACCCCTTCACAATGATCAATGTACAAAAGACTTATTTATTCGCGTATAATATGCACTCGTGTGTTATATGCACCCTTAATTATGGGCAATTAAATTCTGGAAAAATATATCTGTCGTACATAAACATTGCTATCAGCATAAACCACAAAATATATCTTTCAACTCTGTTTTTTTCACCAAAATAACATTCTAATAAGAGCCCCCTTTTTCTAATTTGAGAGCGCCTATTATGTCGAATACGGTAACTGGATTGATTCATTGAGATGTTCATGCAATGCAATGGATAGGCGAGTGGGACAAGCTCTGGTACACACAGTAGGGGAATATTGATGAAATGAATATATTATTTTTGCATTGCTTGATTTTCTATACCTAAATCAGGCGTACAAATCTCAAAAACTAGGACGTGTCCAAGAAGTTACAAATGTGTATGTTAAGGACTGGTCATGTATTTTTTTAATGGGGGGTTGGTCTTAGGACTCTATCATAATTTGTCAACAGTCTCTTAATTAATGTTCAGATTTACAATATTTTTCTTTGAAAAAATAGACATGTCATTACTTCCAGGACGGATTATCCAGAAGTAGCACTTGTTATCCAGGAATACCATCAAGATGTAATCAGTTATTTGTGTTGCCAAAAAGTGAAACAAACATTTCAATCAAAAGAAAGTGTTTTTGGATAGAGAGGATGAACAATGTATAAGCCATTGAACTTTTAAATAAAAAAAAGTAAATTGGTTGGTGAAAAAATTGGTTAAAAAAATGATTAGCGCTGTCAATATTAATTCACTTATTAAAGCATATCGATGAATAATATTCTTGGCAGGACAAATATCCTAACCTGTCTGTATTTGACGCCCATATATCTCAACATGTGTGATGACATGATAGAAGATAAAGTAATGTGTGTGTAAACACAGTGATTGTAACAAGTGACGATGATTGAGAGGTGTCAACAAGGGCTGCCATACTGTTTGGTAATATGAAAATATTATTTGTGGTCGGAAGCAAATCTTCCAGTAGTCATTGGAGTTCTTCCTGAAAATCATTAATATCAGGACTGAATGAATGAATATTGTTTGCTGCATCAGCAATTTTGCAGCTATTCGTGGTGTTACCAGGAGAGATGATCATTGGACATTGAACTGTGTGGATCTAACCAATCAGTGGTTGTAGGACCTTGGGGATATTGATTTGGGGGTGTTTAAGAGGTTATTTCTTCCCTCTGTGATGTCTGTCCTCCTCCTCCCGTTCAGGCGGGGGTTTGTTTTTCTTTCCCATGATTTTCTTCAGGTTTTTGCTCATGAAGTAGGGTTTTTCTGAGGATCCGTCGTTCTTGTCGATGTCCATTACTGGAAGTAAATAGTTGTATGCATAATTTGACAATGTTCTCACAATATGATCTATAAAATTTCATGGGACAGTGTAAATCAGTATCATTATAACCCAACATTAGAAAGTGAATATATAATCTTTTGCAGGTTGTCCATATCACATTTAGTCAATGACAATTCTACATTATTCCTATTTAATTAGGATTTTAGTTTGGTTTGTTTGTTTTTTAACGCCGCACTCAGCACTATTCCAGCTATATGACGGTGGTCTGTAAATAATTGAGTCTCGACCAGTCAATCCAGTGATTGACATCACGGGCATCAATCCACGCAATTGTAATCGATGACATGCATCAACCAAGTCAGCAACCTGACCACCCGATCCCGTTAGTCGCCTTTTACGACAAGCATAGACGCCTTTTACAGCAAGCATGGGTTGCTGAAGACCTATTCTATCACAGAATCTTCACGGGTCTGTTTAATGAGGAAATTTGGTAATGTATGTAATTGCACCTGGAATGGTACTGACCTAATTAATGGAATTATCATAGAGCCACGATTTACAAATGTGTATTACTGCTGCCCTTCTATTAGGCAACAAAAATATTTTTTAATAGGTGATGCTGTAGACATTTTTTTATATCATTTCATGAACACAGTTCACATACTGTTGATAAATGTGATTCAAATGAAACATAAATATTTGGTAGGACTTTCGTATTTCATCCAGTAAAGAAAACAGGCACACATTTTGCGATTTTCTTTTCTATAGAGTTGGCGATGATAGCTGCAAAATTGAAGATGCAGCGTTAAACGATGCGATTACTCTCACACACTCGTCTGTGGGAGCAGTAAAATTACCTGTATGTTGGCTGCGATATTTGGCTGTGGGGAAGGTGGGATGAAAGTCCAGTACTTAATTTAGCATGGCCTTATTTCACGCTATGTAATAACTTGCATGTGATGGTTACGATGACTATAGAAACTAGACGCTACTTACAGAAGCACATGAACAGTGTGTCTACTGCCATCTCGTACACACTGAAGAAACAGGAGGCGATGATGTACGTTGCCAGGATGATGATCTGAAACACAAGGCAGGAGCGTCTTAACGTTGATTGGTTAGTTTGTTGTTTTAGGCCGCACTCAGCAATATTCCAGCTATATGACGGCGGTCCGTAAATAATCGAGACTGGACCAGACAATCCAGTGATTAATATCACTGCATATGATGCATCAACCAAGTCAGGGAGCCTGACCACCCAATCCCGTTAGTCGCCTCTTACGACAAGCATAGTCGCCTTTTACGGCAAGCATGGCTTCCTGAAGACCTATTTTTTTTAGCGTGAGTCACTGAGTGGGGTTATGTACTGGAGTGTCCTTGAGAAATCATGAGAATCTTCTGATTCTGGGAGTTAAATCTACTACCGGAATCAACAGATTCAAGTGATTTCTCTGACTTAAACCATGTTATGTGTAACATAATTTTTGAATATTTGTGCATACTGGGTCAGTTTTATTTGTTTACAATGAACGTTCAGAATGGCCAATGGATGGCTCAGAATATTTTGTTTTTCCTGAACAATAGCGTGTCGTCATAATGATTTATATGCCAGCTATATTACCTGTTTTGCCACGGGCTTTCTTTGAGAGGAAATTGTTTGTTTGTTGTTTATCGCTGCATTCAGCAATATTCCAGCTATAAATGACGGCGGTCTGTAAATAATCGAGTCTGGACCAGACAATCCAGTGATTGGCATCATGAGCATCGATCCACGCAATTGGGATACGATGACATGCATCAACCAAGTCAGCGAGCCTGACCACCCGATCCCGTTAGTCGCCTCTTAAGACAAGCATTGCCATTGGTTGCTGATGACCAATTCTGACCCAATCTTCACGGACTCGGCACACATTATCTGGTACTGATAGTATTCATTATGTGAATATATCCCCATGAGATTCCAAATTAGACAAGCTGGTAGGTCCCCAGCATCCAATGTAGGAGGAAGTATTTGATGACCTGGTTAATTAGTTAAGTTCGTGAGCACACGTTTCACTCAACTGGGCAAGAAATTGAAGAAGAGTTATCCCCCTTCTCAAACCACCGTCAATGCTCTTTCGTCAAATTAAACCAGGCATTTGGCATTTCAAGGGACTCCAGGTTCTCCCACCACCGCGTGAAGGACTCTTTTTCCCCATACGTGAATCTGGTCCAATATGGGCTTTACTAGCAACTTGTGATTAACTTGACCAGTGAGTACCGTATCCCCATCTACCTGGCTCATTCGTGACCAACTCGTGTTATTCCGGGACAAGTTCCGAAAGGCGAGTGGTGACGAGGGCTACCTGGCTTGCATGGGGTACAGGGGATGTATTCTAGATCTGACCTAGAATCCTGTGATCCGAACTTACCAGTATCTAGTATACAACTTACAATTATAGGCACGAAGTAGAAGTTCAGGGCAGGTGTGTAGGTCCTCAAGAAGGATATCCGCCCATCGAAGAAGAAAAATGACATCACTCCTATAAAATCAAGTAATGATTGAATTAGTATTTTTCAACAATTTCAGGCTTTTTTTAAACAAACTCAAATCTTTGGGTGATTTCGACTTTCAGTTGTTAAGTGAGAGATTCATCATAACCACCATGGGCTAAAGAATTTCATTGAAAATCAGGAATTGTTTGATGTCACCATTTGTCACAATGTACACTCTATTCACCTTGCATTCCATATTGTGAAAGATCGGAACACCGCTTCACAATGCGATCGTACAGCTACGACTGTCGAGGTATTAATGAGTGAGAATGGTTTTATGCCTCAATTTAACAATGTTCCAGCAATATCAGGGCGAGGACACCTTGGCTCTGATCCACCAAGTGACAGTAGCGTTACGACTGTCGTAAGTCTATGTTAAAGTATGGGAGTTACGATCGTCTTAGCTCTACGACAGCTTTGTGGAACGGGGCCCTTGAATAGGTTAGGCGCATTGTACCCATGTGGGGAATCGAACCCACGTTGTCGGCGTGATGAGATAACGGTATTTATCCCCACCACCGCGCTAAGTAAGGTAGTTAGACTTAGTGGTGAGGTCGCTTTGAGGATTTGGAACTTACCTACAGCGCCAACAACCACCAGTTTCGCGATGAACAACAGGAAATTCGTCACCTTGTCAACAACTGCCACTCTAGAAAGAAAAACGAAAACAATTTCGCTAATTAAAACTAAATTGAGCATTAACTTCATATGAAAAGGTTCATAGACGGGGCCTCGATTCTGACATTCAGTTTCCAGACTGTCCAGATTGAAGTTGATTCCAAATGAATGAAAAAGTTACCATGGGAACTGCTTCATGTGATATCACATTAATGGCGAAACCCATCTTGTTCTGAAAGCAACCGTCTACATATATTAGTATACAACAGGAATTAACTCAATATAGATTTGTTTATAGGAATGAAGGCATGTACTTACCGAACTATGTTTTCCAGAATCAGCACAAATGCCTTTTTAGCTCCCATGCAAAAGTTTTTGCCATACACAGCAGTCTGAAAGTATGTCGTTATATCAGGTGTACTCTCAATGTTAGAGAAACAGTATTAAAATATAACATCTGCCTATATGAATGAAAAATCGCATATAAGTGAGTGAGAATGGTTTTACGCTGCTTTTAGCAATATTCCAGCAATATCATGGCGGGGGACGCCAGAAATGTCTTCACACATTGTACCCAGTGAGTCTGGTTTTGCGCCGTTTTTAGAAATATTCCAGCAATATCACAACGGGGAACACCAGAAATTGGCTCCCATGAATTGAACACAGGTTTCCGGCGTGACGAGCAAACGCTTTAACCAATAGGCTACCCCACCGCCCCAAATCCGGTTTTGAAATCGTGATGTGCATAGTAGGTGGGAATTCGCAAGCTGAACGTTTTGTCGGCAGCCATGCTGTAATATTACAATTGAGTACAAAGTCTACCTGCATGTCTACAGAACTATGGTTCCAAGCATCACACATTTATAGCTTATTTTTGTTTCACATACACACAAAGCAAATATAACTGTTGGATAGATTACTCCGCAACTTACCAAAATGTAAGCATTTTTATTCAACAATTTCAAGAATTTCTCCAAACACCAGAAGCAGCATTTCAGGCATCTACAAGGAAAACATAAAATGAATTTATTATTATCGATAAAATAAAATATAAGTCATTTTAAGTGAGTGAGTTAAAAGTTCATTCAACATCGAGAACGGTGTGGAGATCGAAAACATGTCATCAACGCATCATCACCTTACCACTAATCAGACGAATAACAACAGTAATATTTCCCACGCTGGGCCATATAGGCCGGTGGTCCACGTTATTCCCACAGGGGCTTACAGCACCTCTGGCTCCGCTCCACAAAGCGATCTTAGCATTAAGATGATGTATGTCTATGATAAAGTAAAAGGGAAACAGAAAAGATCGCTTTGTGGCCCAGGTTCCTTCAGGGACCCCAGTATAATTTTGAGTGCATAAAAACAAATGTGCGGAAGTCTTTTAGTGCCATTTTTAAAAAATAATAATTTCAAAGCTCAAAGTTAGATAATTAGTTGAAATGTATAACTTGAAATTTCAACTTATGTATCAATAAATTTCAACTTTGATCTTGAAATTTCAAGATACATACTTAGTTGACATTTCAAGATGCTATATTGAAATTTCCTGATGCTATGTTAGAATTTCAATCATAAGTTAACATTTCAAGATACATACCAAGTTGACATTTCAAGACAATGATCTTGAAATTCCACGATAAAAGGTTGAAATTTTAAGATTTTAACTTGAATTTTCAACGTATGTATCTTGAAATTTCAACTTAGCATCTTGAACTTAGTATCTTGAATTTCAAGAGAAAAAAAAAATTAAGTTGCCCTAAAATGCTTCCTTACAAATGTTTTTGGGGCACATGTTTTTTTCAAACGTGTGACGTGGGCTGGGGTAGGCCTTTTCGTTAGTGCTAAAAAAGATGCGCTTTTCATTTTTCCCCCACCAAGAATAACTAAAAAACCCATCTGGGAACACATTGAGCTCGGCTCTTTGATACAAACGGATTTAAAGTGACGCATCGATACCAGAGAAACGTGCCATTTTATAACCTGCAATACTTCATTACTCTGGCTACTTTAACTCACTTGATGAAGAACTTCCCCACGGGGTTTTCTGTCCCCTTCAGCTTGTGGTCGATGTATTCTAACGCCACCCGGATCATCTGTACAATCGCGATGATCAGCGAACCAAACGCCAGGGTTCCAAGGTGGTATCTGTAAAAGACAACGTCACAATTCTGTACATATTATAAAAAAAAAATGAACTCGCTAGTTAGAGCATTCATTTGTATACTTGTAATGTTGGTATGCATCCTTCATTATCCTGCGTGCTTAAAGCCCAGTTAAGTTAATGTGGTCGAGCCTTGTGGTACTGAGCCGAGGTCTGGTCAGTATCTGAGGACCCATGAAGATCCGGGGTAGAATAGGTCTTCAGCAACCCATGCTTACCGTAAAAGGCGACTATGCTTGTCGTAAGAGGCGACTAACGGGATCGAGTGGTCAGGCTCGCTGACTTGTTTTGATGCATGTCATCGTATCCCAATTGCGTGGCTCGATGCCGATGATGTCAATTACTGGACTGTCTGGTCGAGACTCCATTATATACAGACCGCCGTCACATAGGTGGAATATTGCTGAGTGCGGCGTTGAACAAAAAGCAAACAGTACCTGAGTGTCCGCCATAATGACCCGAGGAGGGGGAAGGTTGGGATGTCCTTCTTCTTGTCCCAAGCCCAGTAGTAGGAGGCGAACGCTCCGGCCAGGGTCATCTGACCAAAGGCCACGACAAAGTTGACCAACCAGAAGAACATGAACACGTTGTAGATCTGCAGGTAGATGGTGTAGCTGAAAAGAGGGAAGGTTGAGTTGGAATTTCACATGAAAACTAAACTGCCGGGCAAACGAACGTGTGCGGCGACGGTTGATCAGATTGAACCAAAGGAGAAACGGTCACTCGATGGTGATGTATTTTATAGTAAACCATTGTTACAGTCATAACTGCTGAGGATTATACAACCGTGTCTTGTACTTGCTTGAGATTAATATTGTATCAATATTGTATGTTATTGTATATACTGGTATTATCGTTGTGTTTTGTTGGCAGTGTTTCGGAGACTGTTCTCAGCCTGGTAACATTTTGATAAAATCCAATTTTCAGGTGCATACTTTCTTTTGTCCGGCAGTGTACGTCATTGAGGATAGATTTCAGGTGATTCCTGGTTGCTTTGGGTATTTTAACATACTTCAACTTTGAACTTTATAATAATGAATTGTATTTGTGGATCCGGACGAAGGGTTTCGGAAATAATGAAGTATGGGTGCCGAGTAATGACCCTTGTTTTTATATTACGATTTAGAGTAGTAAGCGTCCGGAAGGTTGAATTAACGAGGTCCGTATTAACGAGGTTTCAGTATGTACTAATTCATCTTTTGTCGTAAACGGATGTAAGTTATTCATGAACTGAATGGTGCCATTCTGTGTCGAGTATTTAGTGAATGAAGCCGTGCATTCTTTCCATCTAGCCATTATGTGAGTGTTTGTAGATACTCACTCTCCGCCATTGTATCGCAGTTTTGTACAGAAATCTCCAAGCGAGGTGTTCGTAGTTGGCAAAATCTGAAACGTAAATGGTACCGGTAATTTAATACCTATATTGTACTTATTCTACATCATGAGGCCTTGATATGGTGTTGAATGTGAAATAGCGGTATCCATGTTAACAGGAATTCGAAGAACTGGTGTATCACGTTTTAAGAACTTTAGTATAGCACAGTCTGTTATATTCATAACAATTGTACATTACAAAATATTTGAGAATATTCTATTTGTTGATCATTGTCATATATACCAGCGTGAAATTATTATCCAGAGAAAACAAATACGTGCCTGTTGGTCACAAGCCAAATCTATGAGATTTGTCTTCTGTACTGCGGTTGGGTCTATGGTGCCATTGGGAAACGTGACGTTAAGGGCTGACGTATTCTGGTTCCGTCCCACACTGGCGAGATAGCTGAATGAACGTTAAGTCAATCATCATAGGTGAGGTTAAATTGGGTTTAACGTCGCGTCCAAGATTATTGCACTTATATTGTCAATCATAATAGTTTTGCTACCACCTTTACTTGGGAAACAATCGTTTTTAATAATTTCTTGTATTGACTGACAGGCCGTGACAAACCGGCAAACCAAACTCAGTCACTCATTCCATGAGCGTCACAAAAGGACACACAACACTCACTCACTCCATGAGCGTCACTGCCCGTGAAGATGCCGATACTTGCCGTATCATAGGTGACTATGCTTGTCCATGTGTTAGAAGACATACATTTTCTGGTATAATGCGAACTAACCAATTACATTAAACAAATGAAGATATATAATGTAGTATGTAAGAGGCGACTAACGGGATCGGGTGGTCAGGCTCGCTGACTTGGTTGATGCGTGTCATCGATCCCAATTGCGTGGATCGATGCTCATGATAGTATCACTGGATTGTCTGGTCCAGATTCGGTTATTTACAGACCGCTGTCATATAGCTGGAATGTTGCTGAGTGCGGCGTAAAACAACCATTAGCGTCACTAAAGGATACACAGCTATAGTCGCCCACACGGAAATGACCACCATCTGGAGAACAAACGGGATGATCGGCCACAGCAGTGTGAAGATCATGTTGCCTACAGCCCTGAAATAGAATAATTCTGATTAAATGAACGTTGTAAGTATCGTGAGAAGAAAACATTTTTTCTTGTTAACGAAAAGTAATAAATGAATCTGAACAATTAGATGCCCTTGATAGAAGGACATTAAGGCGAAATCTTTGAGATTCAATGAAGTCGATTCTGGTCCCCAAAAGCTATAATGTACCTCTCATCAGCCAATTGGAGTTCATGAAAGTTATATGAATTCTTTTTTTAAAAATTACCACTATCCGAATCCACGCGTTAATACTATCTATGTATATATCGTGCTGGCATACATTGTCTTACCCATTCCGTCAATCGTCTCCACATATTCCGTAGTTTCAAACTGTTGTTTCTAATAGTATAAGTGACCCGAGAAGATCCGGGGTAGGTCTTCAGCTACCCATGCTTGCCGTTAAAAGCGGCTATGCTTGTCGTAAGAGGCGACTAACGGGATCGGGTGGTCAGGCTCGCTGACTTGGTTGATGTATCCCAATTGGGTGGATCGATGCTTATGATGTCAATGATTGGATTGTCTGGTCCAGACTCGATTATTTACAGACCGACGTCATATAGCTGGAATATTGCTGAGTGCGGCGTTAAGCAACAAACAAACAAACAAACATAACAGTATTAGTAGGCAGGACCGTATTTATCATACCCCTGAATTGAACAATAATGAATACTAGAGCTATCGTGTCGACATACAAAAACATACATTCTGTTATCTAATGAATCGGCAAACATATTCCCTTGCAAGAAAGTGGCTGCAAATATAAAAACTCTGTACCAACCTGCTGCCTTCCTCGATGAGAGCAATGGCGATCCTGATTCTCTGGATGAGGAAGAGAAAGATGAGGAAGACGATGAGGAAGATTATTCCTGCTGTGATGCCTGTAGAAGATAGAATGAGGTGACGGATATATACACTTTGTCACCCGGAACATACCCTTCACAACGTTATATCACTGTGGGTGTTATATTGTCGGTATTATCTTGCTTGTCGGCAGTAAATTGTCATATCTACTACATGTGCTTAGTAAAACTATATACAACTTGTCAATATTACTCTTGAACAGTTTGATAAAATGTGAAATGTACACCTAAAAGAAAGTAAAAATGTGAAAAGATTTTTTATTTTTATGTATACCGTGGATCTCCCAATATATGCATGTAACATTGTTCCCATTTTGATTAATGTCTTAAATACTACCAATACCCGCTGAAACATTGATACAAAAATCACTGCATGTTGAGAGTCAGTGACCCAGAGAAATGAAGAAAGTAATTGAAGGAGTAGTCAAATAAATATCCCCGTGATGGTTGCATCATGGTTACAAAACAGTAGATATTCGATATATTTCAATATATCAATATGAGTATGTCAAAAACACTATGCATTTCGGCACATAATTAATACAAAATACGATTTTTCAAAATGGCTCATTTATATGGGAATATATACTGAGCACAGCTTAAATTTTACCCCAGTATATAGTTATCGCCGATGGAACTTGGGTTCCCAATAGGTTCGGTGACTGAGGCATATTTTCGGTGTCCCCCAACGTGACATTTCTGTAGTACTCCAACACACGCACAATACAAATTTCAAATTTCTACTTAAATAATTATGATTTTTTATTTGATTAAACATTATTATTTTCTTAGTTTATCAAAATGCCAGGACGTAGAATCGCAAATGATTACGCTGACAAAAAAGGCATAGGCACTGTGAAAATTAAGTTCACATTTAGGGTCATGTGATGAAGCAGTGTGGTGGACAATCTTACCCAAACCAAGATAGAATTTATCTTTCGCAAAATCCATCTGTATGACAGCGATGTGGAAAGAGAAGGTTTCGGCGCTGCCCTTGGTCTCGAGATACATGTAGATGCCGAACACCGCGCCTACAACACATAGACACCTTCAGCATACATGGAGGAAAATAATAGCTGTGTTTTATTTATATTACTTAAACAACATTGAACCTTGGTCTTGTGTGCCGGGAATCTGACCGATCGGGTTGCAGGTGATGTGTGTGTTTGTTGTTTAACGCTGCATTCAGCAATAGTCCACCCTTAAATAATCGAGTCTGGACCAGACGATCAAGTGATCAACAACGCTGACTTTGTGTGCTGGCGATTAGGTGCCCCACTCTGTCAGTGTGGGTCCGAATCCTGGATGGGACTCAACCAAAAACAGCACGAGAATCTGTACTTTACTCAGAAAGTGTTATCCCAAATTTAACATTTGTTACATTTGACCACTTTCTAAATGGCATTGTGTTCATAATCAAGTGATCGATATTATGAGCAAGGACCCACGTCGTCGGGGTATGATGACACACATCACTTGGTTGATGCATGCTATCGTATCCTTATTGCGTAGATCGTTGCTCATGGCATCGATCACTGGATTTTTTACAGACCGCAGTCGGATATACGTAGCTGGAATTATGCTGAGTGCGGGGTTAAATAACAATCCAGCAAACAGAAATATGAACTCGTATTAAATTATACTAAATAAAAAATGTCATTAACGGTTGTGTATATGTATATATCGTTTAAGTTCATTTCGTGTTAGATTTAACAAATACATAGTAAACAACAACAAACATACTGTCTTGCCAAATCTCCCACTGTCAACCATCCTTGATAATACAGTGTCTTATATCACCATTGATTATGATTGAAATTATTATTATTATTATTATTATTGACACAGTACCTCCGGCAAAAAGAAGGACAAAGGCGACAACCGTCACCCACACCATCACCCCCGCGATCCATCGCATCAGCACAATCCATATAAGGGATATCAGGCACGCCAGGCAGAGGGCGCTGTGGAGGCAAGCAAGGTGTCCGCATTTTAGAAATATTTGTGTTAAAAAAATAATGTATTCCACAGAATCATTACTGGAACTGAACAAGGATGACACATATACCGTTACTGGGTGAGTGAACGGTTTCATGTCTCAGTCGGCAATATTACAGTGACCTGTAAGTCTGACCAGTGGTTGACCGCATGAGCACAGACCAATACTGTTGAGAGCCCGAAGACACAAAATCATCCAGTGGCCCGTTCCAAAACATGATCTTAGCGTTGCCGTATGAGAGTTACGACCATCTTAGGGCCCATGTTACACATTACAACCAGTCGGTCCTCTTTAGTACTAAATAGTTTAAGAAAAGGAAAAACTTATAATCTTGCTCAGATTTTTATACCAAATAATTGTTCGCTGGTCAGGTTCTAAAACAATGGGTTTTCCTCGCCCTTTCATCGCAGTATAGGGGCGGTCGGGTAGCCTCGTGGTTAAAGCGTTCGCTCGTCACGCCGAAGACCCGGGTTCGATTCCCGACATGGGTACAATGTGTGAAGCCCATTTCTGGTGTCCCCCGCCGTGATATTGCTGGAATATTGCTAAAAGCGGCGTAAAACCATACTCACTCATTCATCGCAGTATGAATTGTCAATGCAAAAGAATAAACAGTCTAGATTATCCGCCAAACAGATTCCATGCCACAGAAACAAATGTGCATCAAAACAGTGTCAGGCCGTATTTTGTATTGTAATCTTACGAGCTTCTTTTTGTTACAGTGACCCCGGTTAGAATAACTCCCTACAACTCTACTGCTTGTAGGAAGCGATACAATTGTATCGGGTAGGCAGGTTTGATCGTACCCCGACATTACTTGACTGGATTATCTGTCTCCCGATTAGATTGTTTAAAGGCCGCTGTAATATAGTTGGAAAATTCCTGACTGAAATTTAAAATTAATGTAGAGTGACAACCATTAGACAAGGTCTAATGGTAGAGCGTCCGCCCGGAGAGCGGAAGGTCCGGGGTTAGATCCCAAGCCGCGTCATACCATACCAAAAGACGTTAAAAGATGGTACTTGGTGTTACCCTGTCTGGCGCTCGGCATTAAGGCGCTAAAACAAGGACTGGTCGGTTCGGAGTCAGTATACTGTGTCTGAGTTGGGTATTCATGTTAAACTGCGGCATGGTATCTCAGTGTGCTAGCACTATAAATCGGCATCAGTCCGGACTAGTACAAGCAGCCACACATACACACATACACGTGCATGCACGTCGCTATATAAGTGCAATAATCTTGGACGCGACGTTAAACCCCAATTCACCTCACCTCACCTCACCTCACCTCACCTCACCTCACAAGAGTATGAAGGGATGCACTCACATTAAGATCATCCACCAGGTTGTCTGCACATCAGCTATGGCCTTCTCCCCGTACTGCTTGGCTTGCAAAAAAATGTCAAACACCCTGGAAGATAATTGTAATAATGTAAACCTTGCCTGGCATGTACAGCATATGTCATATATAGCATGGCGAAAGTGAAGATGCATGTCATTCAAGATCACAAATAAGTCAACAAGAAAACGCTGATGCAAGGCATTAACGCTGTCACAAACCCTTTGTTCGTCAAATTAAATGTACAATTTAATAATTTCCCCATGTTAAAACAATGTGAACAATATTGGTTCCAATTCATACCCTGATTTACATTTCACACCATGGTTTTAAGTACAATGCGATTACGCCACTTACATACTGAATTCGAAAAACAAATCATTGTCCTTCCACGGTAAATGAAAACAGTAGCCTATTATTCCGCTTGTCGTGAACCATCACTTAGACACTGTCTACCTCTCGATATTGCGGCATAAATGACATGCATTTCAGTGTTCAAATACAGTAAACTACGGTTATAACGAACACGCTTATAACGAACTGACGGATATAACGAACTTACTTTTTGGTCCCGACTATTTGCTGTAGTTATGCTGTATATATGCTTATAACGAACTACGGTTATAACGAACTAAACTTAGAAGTCCCTTTGAGTTCGTTATAACCGTACTTTACTGTACTGTCAACTAACAACAGGAATGTTAAGAACCTACGGTTATGACGAACTCAAAGGGACCTCTAATTTTAGTTCGTTATATGGGATTGCTGGAACGTATCAGTTGAAACACTTTGGCTATTGTTTAGTACTTACTGTGATGCTTTTTGTAGAGTCGTTCCATTAATTACACCGCTCATTCCAGTCAGGTTCACGTTGTTTCCTTTCCCGTCTACCAAGACACTTTCGCCAAGCTTTAGTAAGTCGTCGATAGGCAAGCATCGTTGAACAACTATAACATAGCAACAGGGTACTAACTGCAAGTACTGCTTGTGACACAAGAACTCCCTGTCGAACAGAGAGATGTTGAGACTTGTTTTTATTTTTAAACTGACATTGTCAAAGCAACAAACTAATAAATACACTTAAATGCAAAGTTTTGTATATACGCACGTTAATTCTAAGATGCTTCGCTAAAAGAGCCGACAGTACCTTATCTTGCGATAAACTATAAAAGTTGGTAAAAATGTATTAATATTATCGTCCATAAACCAAAAAAGACGGTATTATTGTCAGTGAATCACATCATGAACGTTGTTCTACGCAAATGGGACGACGCGCATCAACCAAGTCAGCGAGCCTGACCATCCGATCCCGTTAGTCACCTCTTGGGTTGCTGAAGACCCATTCTAACTCTCTTCTCGGGGACACTTGAAACTGAAGGTGAATGACTTGTTCCCTATATTAATGAGCCAGAATGGTGCTCGGGGACACGGGTTCAATTGTATTTAAACATCTTACTCAAGGAGAAGTACCTACCCGATCTACTCTTAAGATAATACGGAGCACACTCTTGGTCGATGATAAGCTTGTGTATATCCTGGAAGGGAATATAGATGATGTATACTTTTTAAAAAAAAATAATAGAGATGAGTACAGAAATTATATTTTTCACAGAAAAATTATATATGTCATTCACATTTCAAATCATGGGAGTATCTTTTGATAATAATATTTTTTTTTAATATTAACAATACCATTTGCATATAATTGCCTTCTTTTTCAGTGTATACATATAAATAGCCATATTATATTTTTATGTATTCTACATATACATGTTCTAACATCTTACCTTGGTTTTATCAACGCCGTCTTTACATATCATATCTGATTTATCTCCAAATGTGGACTGAAAAAACGCATAGTTGACATCTGGACACTTCGATACACACACCTGTAAAACAGAAAGCGGTTCATTATAAAACCAAATCGGAACTGGCATATCAGACAAAGCATACGTTACCAAATCAGCGTTGCTCGTGATAATGTCTGTTATTTTGATATAAGGAGGAAAACACTTACGTTATAAGACTATGATTAAAGAACCAGGGAAAATGATAGCTCACATATCCCATTTTTCACAAGGAGTTTTCTTTAGAAATAATCAGTGATCCAGGATCAACCTATAGCTGCTAATTCACACATTATTTATAAGATTTTTCACTTTCATCGATTTGCTTTTGCGCCTTTGAGCAGGAATTTTCAAAGAATTCCAAAATGTCCAATTGAATTGTACTCACTTGTGGCGTAGGGCATCCATTGACGACCACCCCCGGGCCGAGACGTGCGCACTGCACAAGGTCGAAGAAGAACAGGTAAGGCCTCCCCCTGATGGCAGTAAGGAATATTTGTAGTCGTGGCACGTACTTCTTTAGACATATGTATCCAAGGCTCGTACATTAGTGGATGGTTAAAGCCTTGTGGTTAACGCATGGTTAAAGCGTTCGCTCATCACACTGACGACCCAGTTCGATTCCCCAAATGGTACAATGTGTGAAGCCCATTTCCAGTGTCCCCTGGCGTTACATTGCTTGAATATTGCTAAACGTAAAATAATATTCACTCACTCACTGGGACCAGACCCATTATTTGTAATGGATGACGAGTTCAATCAGATAAAGTCAAGCTCCAGACATGATGCCACATGTGAACACCAGACATTGTTCAGTATTTGGCTGATTGATTCATCTACATTAAATGTGTATTTGTAATGACTCGGTTGAAACCTGCTAGGTATGCTAGTTTACAGTATCTCTCTCGGGTAACCGTGACCAGTGACAGAAACTAAAGTGAGTGAATGAGTATGGTTTACACCGTTTTTTAGCAATATTTCAGAGATATCATGAGACCCGTGAAGATCCGGGGTAGAATAGGCCTTCAGCAACTCGTAAAAGGCGACTATGCCTGTCGTAAGAGGCGACTAACGGGATCGGGTGGTGAGGCTCGTTGACTTGGTTGAAGCATGTCATCGATCCCAATTGCGTGGCTCGATGCGCATGACATCAATCACTGAATCGTCTGGTCCAGACTCGATTATTTTGCAGACCGCCGTCATATAGGTGGAATATTGCTGAGTGCGGCGTTAAACAACAAACAAACAAACAAACAAATCATGGGGGAGAATAGCAGAGAACCCATGTGGGGATTCGAACCTTGGCCTTCGACGTCGAAACTAAAGATGAAAGAGACCTTGCCATAACTGTTAACAAATAAAATACCACCAAACATCAACGACAATAGAACAGCACCTATGTATTCCGAAGCATTTTGAAAAACTTACTTCTGGTTCCCAAATCCACACGTTTCGCCATTTGAGTTCTGCGGATAGAGTAGGGCACTGGGGTTGCCTAGGGCATATGCTGCAAAACAATTATTACTAGTTATTCTCAATAACATACGGTAATGAACCGTTCGTCAGGAAACGAAAGCATCAATTTTCAACATGTAATCCTTTATAGGGAACACAGTCAGTGAATAGATAGAATAGGTCTTCAGCAAGCCATGCTTGCCGTAAGAAGCGATCATGCTTGCCGTAAAAGGCGACTATGCTTGCCGTAGGAGGCGACTATGCTTGGCGTAAGAGGCGACCATGCTTGTCGTAAGAGGCGACTATGCTTGCCGTAAGAGGCGACTATGCTTGCCGTAAGAGGCGACTATGCCTGCCGTAAGAGGGGAGTCAGGCTCACGGACTGAGTTGATAAATGCCATCGTATCCAAATTGTGTAGATAGATGTTCATGGCATCAATCAATGGATTGTCGGGCCCAGACTCGATTACTTACAGACCGCTGTCATGTAGCTGGAATATTGCTGACTGGGGCGTTAAACAACAAACAAACATTGTATTCAGATAAGTGAATAATAATTAGGGAAGCAATACGACCATATATTTTGTTCGCGAAATATACATAAAATACCCCAAATACTGCGTCCTATACGCAAAGAAATTCTGAATCGGAAACGCATAATTCTCATTGACTCCTATGGTACGCATCAAGGATGATTGAATCATTAAACTCATCAAATTTGTAGACTGCATGTTACAATTAACTGACATGAAATGCACTCGAAATGCGTCACTGGTTGGGTTTCATCAATTATGACATTGAAATTTCCTTTCGCAGTGGGTTTTAACCCCTGAGCATGGTTATGACATAACATGGTTATCATATGACATCACTACTCAAGTAAAATTCCTGAAAATCAAAAGAAGCGTACCCCCATGTTATGCCTAGAGTACCCTCAAAATGATCATTGAAATCCCCTGGACTCGAAAATAGAAAGACCCGGGTAAATCCACGAATGGTACCAGGTATGGTATGCTTACCAAAATAGGCCACGACGACCAGTCCGCTGATGAAGACAAAGAACAAGAGACAGCAGATGATGTCTGTGCATGATCTGGGGACATCAATGTTCATACAATCGTTATAGGTACAGGGCAACATACAGACATGTGTTCTGTGGCTCACCTTACTGAGGCTGAATTGCTAAAGTGGTGATTTTAGGCACACACGGGAAATAAAAATACAAAGAATTGCATTATCTATGTTTGGACTTGCTTTATTTTATCAATATGCAATAACGTTTTTTTAAATTTCTTTCAAGTTGCAAAAAGCATTGTATAAAAGATGGATGGAGATAGATAAGTGCCTAAAGAAAGAAATTGGTGAAGACAATGACGTTATTCACAGCATCAGTTAACGTTTGGTTGACACACCATAGGTGGTGGTAATAAGTAGTATAATGCTTCGTTTAATTACTTTAGAAATAGCTCATTAAACAAGCTAGAGAATATTCTTTTTACAGCTTTATATTTGACAAGGTATAACATAAGTCCACAGGAAGTGGAAGTATAACGATTCGCTCTGTAGCATTGCTGACGTGATACAAAACCAATTGTTGACGTAAATTACAGACAGTATTGTTGACGTAAATTACAAACAACATAGGTGACGTAAATTACAGACAGTATTGTTGACGTAAATTACAAACATCATTGTTGACGTAAATTACAGACAGTATTGTTGACGTAAATTACAGACAGTATTGTTGACATATTGTGTAATGTAGTCACAATAGTGACGACATCATATTTATAGAAGACAATACTCCTGAATAGTGGATAACAAAGATAACGTTGCTATTGTTTATTAAAGTGTCGCCCAAATCAAGGGGGCATGGGTGATCATGTTGTTTGTATCGCTTGGCAGAATTGCATCTCGTAGGGGTACCATGAATGTAAAATCATTGGTTCGAATCTTAGATTCTTGGTTTGTCAGTACCATACACGTGCTCATTTCACCAAACTTGTAAATGTTTTAGACCTGCATCACTTCGGGCTTTCCTAAGTACGGCACGTCGTGATATGATTGAAATTCTGTTTATAGCGGTACAGAAACAGAACTCACTCACTCCTAATAATTTACGTATCTAGTAATATCACTAAGACAACTACACTCTTATAATCTCTATTTATGCTTTACAATGTTTGTCATAATTGGCATATAAAACCATGTTTCCCAAGAAATGTACTCAACATAAAGGTCACAATGCTATGCGTATGTAAAGCTGAGTACCCGCCGTGATATTGCTGGATTATTGCTAAAACCATACTCACTCACCATGGGCGGATACATCTTTTTGAAAAGGGGTGTGGGGGGTGGGGGTGTGTGGACAATTAAGGTCTATTTATTGTCTTTGGTGGTAATTTATACAGAAATAAAGATTTTTTTCGAAATAAAAGGGGTGGGGGGTGTGCGCACCCCCTTCTGTATCCGCCCATGCTCACTCACTCACTCACTCACTGTAGCTGAGTACTGGTGAAGAAGCGTAACAGACAGCAGTTAACCACCAAAGAAATAACCTTCCAAACGGATGTGATTTTTAATGCTTCACGTATAAAATAAGTAAACAACTTACGGGGCAACATTTGGCAGCTAGCTATACATCTTTTAGAACTGTTAGTGCAAAAAAAGCGGCCCAATATTCAATTCAAACCCCCGATGAACGAACTCTTCAAAGCGAAATGCGTCTGGGCCGTCTGTGCCCCCGTGGCGGTAACCCGTCGCTGAATGAGTATAGTAATATGGCGCATTTAGTACCAACACTTCGCTTTACTCATTCTACCCATATTGGGAGCTGAACCTGGTCTTCGGAGGAGTGACGAGTGAACGTCTTTACCACTTAGCTACCAACTTACCTGTTTTTAATCGGGCCTTTCTTTGATGGGTCATACTCGTCCTTGGCTGCAATAAAGACAATGATGTTAAGGTACAATATGCAGTCATACATTCATTATCATTCGGATGGTTCTGATGACAATTATGGTTCTCTTGGCTTCGACAATCCACAAAATACCGAACACATCTAATATAAGAATACCGCTATAATATAACTATTACACTACCTGCTACCCGCTGTGCATTGGTATTAATCTTGCTAACAGAATTGTTTGTTTGTTTGTGTGTTTTTGTTTGTTTGTCATCACACTCCAGGGAGAATCATGAGCATCGATTTACGCAACTGGGATCCGATGACATCCACCAAGCAAATCATCGAGTCTGACTACCTGATTCCGTTAGTCCCCTCCTACGACGTACATAGGTTACTGAAGACCAATTTCTATCCGGCGATTAGGAGACTCTAAGAATGTGGGTATGTGGGAATCCCGGATGGGATTCAATTAAAAAAATACTAGAATTTGTACTTTACTAAGAGTGTGAGTGAGTGAGTTCGGTTTTACGCCGCTTTGAGCAATATTCCAGCAATATCCCGGCGGGGGACACCAGAAATGGGCATCACACATTGTACCCATGTCGGGAATCGAACCCGGGTCTTCGGCGTGACGAGCTAACGCTTTAACCACTAGGCTACCCGACCGCCCACTTTACTAAGAAAGGGTTATCCTAAATATATCATTTTTTACATTTGACCACTTTCTAAATGATAGGGGCGGTCGGGTAGCCTAGTGGTTAAAGCGTTCGCTCGTCACGCCGAAGACCCGGGTTCGATTCCCGACATGGTTACAATGTGTGAAGCCCATTTCTGGTGTCCACCGCCGTGATATTGCTGGAATATTGCTCAAAGCGGCGTAAAACCATACTCACTCACTCACTTCTAAATGACAATGTTCTTCATCAGGTGATCTACACGACACAGTTTATTTATAATTCTAATCCGGATCTTCACGGGCCATGCACTATAGTAGCACCATCCACTCCGCGATCTGTATTGGTATTAGGCATGCTAAGCGTATTCTGAATTATTCCGAATCATCCGAACTTGACATGTACCAATCGATGGAAGCTGTAAATGATTCATTTTGGTTTGCATGAATACTGTTTGAACTAGGCAACGCATTGATTTGTCTTCAAGCCAGGGAACATGGTAGTTATTTTATTTTCAAGCGAGGTTTTGTGTTAATATAGTACTAGTTACGCACAATGATCGAATTCTCAGATTACATCCGGTACATACAGTAATCAAAGCTAATGGTTGTGTTTTAGTTTGTTGTTTTACGCCGCACTCAGCAATATTCCAGTTATATGACCGCGGTCTGTAAATAATCAAGTCTGGACCAGACAATCCAGTGATTGATATCATGAGCATCGATCCACGCAATTGGGATCTTAGGACTAAGGGCACGTTAAGATTAATAGAACCTTAAAAGGAAGGTGTTTTAAAATACCTATAAGGAAGTGCGTGTTTCATGGAGGAAACATCCTCGTTTGTCTTGACTCGTGTACCGTAATAACTTAATAAGTTGTCCATCGGTCTCGAGAGGTACATGGGTCGCTGTACCCTTTATGTTACTTTATATTCCCCGAGCCAGGAAGCACACCTAATTATATTGCAGGTGTGTGTCTTATGCATGCATGCTTTCCGAATCGGTAAAGTTACGACAGTTTATCCACATCGTTCATTTTTCACATTGGTCTAAGCAGACGACAGAAAACAAACTTGTGAGATCTTTCATTCGGAAAATATCGTAAAAATCTGTAGAATGGCATCTTACATAATTAATTCGAGAAACAAAATTCCTGTTGGTATGTTTCAAATGTGAGCCAACCGCTCGCCAATTCGAGTGGGGAAGATAAGAAATGTACCTTACATGTTAGCGTGGTACATTAAAAGAAATATATTGGGTTTCAGCCAATCAGAATGCGACATTCATGTGAAAGGTACGATACATTGTGTTGAAACCTCGCCTGAAAGGAAAGCCATTGTCGTGCCTCATACGGGGCATGCTTTAGCTCTCACTGAAGGTATGCATACCAAGGTGAACATGTTTCGGGGCCCAGTTGCACAAGGCGATCTCAGTACAGTCGTTGTCCAAGGACACATTTTGCATGTGGGCCCTGGACTGACGGAAACAAGAAGTCACGTTTAACTGTGACGTGCATGTTGACACCTAAAATCGTCATTAAAATCTGAAACCTAGTCTAAATTACATCCAATATTAAGCTACTATGTACAATTTTCAGCACCTTTGGAAGGATGTGAACAAATTATTAATTTCAATAAAGTCTTCACGCCGTGTGACACATTTTCACCAGATCCTTTCAGACTGGAAACTGATATTAATTACATCCAGTTATGAGCGTATGTTTACATTAATTTTCAACACCTTTGGAAGGAGGTGAACAAATAATTAATTTTCATAAAGTCTTCACGTCAATGTCGCATGACTAACGTTGCCACGTTTTTACCAGAAAGTTCACACTGACACCCGTTCTTAATAACATCCAGTTATGAGCGTTTCTTTATATTAATTTTCAGCACCTTTGGAAGGGTGTGAACAAATTATTAATTTTCATAAAGTCTTCACGTCAATGTCGCATGACTAACGTTGACACGTTTTTACCAGAACGTTCACACTGACATCCGTTCTTAATTACATCCAGTAATGAGAGTTTCTTTATATTAATTTTCAGCACCTTTGGAAGGGTGTGAACAAATTATTTATTTTCATAAATTCTTCATGACTTTCGATGACTCATTTTCAACAGAACGTTTCATACAGTCTCTGCACGTTGGATGCCCATATTTGCTGAAGATTTGCGTGTCAGCGCATTTCCTAACACATAATCATATGATGAGCATCTAAAAGAAATTATACAAGTTCAAATTGTCAGCCATACCGTCTGAGCGATAGATCACACTGGCTGTCATCTCCGTAGTCTGTGGGAATCTGTACTTAGACCTCTCTACCGAGAACGTTCTTTATAAGCAATACATCAAAGTGACGTAAACATCAGATGTAAAACAACACTCACTGGCATTTTTAGATGTCGCCGCCTAATTACGGACAATTAAGCTTCTGTTAAACCAGGATTAAGGGGATTAACACGTCTCTAGTCAAATTAACACGCTGTTGTCCTTAGTAGTAGACACGCCAACACGCCGAAAGTAACACTCCCGTTGAAAGTGAGCGATGTTGTGACAGCTTGACAGTGGCATTAATTCCTTGACTACCTCACCAGACAGAGGCTACTGTTCAATTACAGAGCTGCTTGTAATAACATACGTTCATCCTATACGTTGTCATCAAAACTGAAAACAACTTATCTGGAATGTGACATAGCTAGTGTCAGCATCAAATTCCGTGTGACATGCAGCTGGGACCAGGTTCGACAATTTAATTCCTCGCTATTTTCATCCGTTATCATGCAAGATAGAAATTTGAATTGACATAAAAAATGTGTTTTTAAGTTTAATATATTCCTAATATATTCCTATTGCTACTGTTGAAAATTGTTACATAAAAAGGAGAATAGCAGGTTTTTACGGAAGCCTTTTAGGGCCATTTTTTTCTCTCTTTTTTTCTTGAATTTTCAAGATACTCAGTTGAAATTTCAAGATGCTAGGTTGAAGTTTTAAAATACAAAGAAAGAAATTTCAAGATACTAAGTTGAAATTTCAAGATGTTATGTTGAAATTTCAAGATAATACTAAGTTAATAAGATTATAAGTTGAAAATATAAGATTATAACTTAAGTTTCAACTTATAATCTTGAAATTTCAACTTATAATCTTGAAATTTCAAGATACTAAATTGAAATTTCAAGATATTGTATTGAAATTTCAAGATGCTAAGTTGAAATTTCAAAGTTAAAAAGTTTCAAGAAACTAAGTTGAAATTTCAAGATATCTACTTGAAATTTCAACTAAGTATAAAAGCCCTAAGAGACTTCCGTAGGTTTTAGTCAGTGACAACATTTAGCCATTTTTTGTAGAATGACCCGATCATGGGGTTATGTGTTCATTGGAGATGGGTAATTAATACTTTACAGACATTCGGTTCAAAACTGCTGAATGGTGTAACTTGATATAGTAAAAACTTGCCGAAATATTTATGTGGCCATTGAAGACCATGAACACAATGAACGTATTTTCATTGATATATTATCAGTATTAATATTCTCATGAGGTGTCTGCAATTTGGATATGATCGGGACTAATCCATTTTACTACGTTGGTAACAGGCATTGGACAGTGGGAGAAGTCAATCGTGGTATTTGTGATTTTAATGTATCTGACAAATGGGGCTAAACCATCTCGTTAACCAGAAATATTAATGTTTATTATAGATATAGTATTTATAGATACAAATTTTGCATTTAGAAATTAGTTATTACATCAACATACCACTATAATCGCACGGATACCGAGTGTAACATCCGCTCTACCGGAAGCGCTCGTAAAATCTCAAACAACGTCATCGAAAACTTTTAAGTAGGCATTAAGAGCGAGTGAATTAGGTACGGAAACCTGTTAGGGCCATTTGTTTTGTTTGATTTTTCTTGAAATTTCAAGATACATATTTTCGGTTGAAATTTCAAGATAATCTTAGTATCTTGTAATTTCAAGAATCAACGAAAGAAACAAACAAATGTCCCTAAAAGGCTTCCGTAATTAGGAGATAGACACGAAGTATGTTTATCTCCATTCTAACGTGACTAAATAAAAAAAACAAACTATTTTGTGATAGCAAATACATTAAGTGAAGCTGCGTGGGTTGAGCCCAGTGTTTTGTGTGGGTTATCATTAGAATTTACGGAATCACCGACACCAGCTTTTAAACAAAATATGGCGCTGTATATGCAAGCTCTCTGTTGTCCTCAAAACTTGAAATACATTCTCTTTGTAGATTTCTATCGTGTTTTCTGTATTGCCACACGTCCTTTGAATATTTCAGAAACCCACCTTGCATTTTGTAGCCTTAATTGTAAATATACTTATTAAA